TACAATTAATCCTGTTTAAATAGAGAAAGTAATATTGATTATATATAACTCGGTCTTTGCTTTAGATAATGCCGAACACGTGTCCTTAATATTCTCCGCACTGATAAAACCTCTACCCCATTATTGCTTCTCGCGATTGGCGCCGCGAAATTTCAATTTTGAAAACTATCGTTAACAGTTAACAGGTTTTTAGATTCATAAACTATATTTAACAACTCTCAACTATAGTTTACGAGTGTGAATTATAGTTTATGACGATAAACTATGATTGGCAAATGTGAATCATAGTTTAGCTCTCAAAACTATAGTTTAAGATCGATAAGTGTAGTTTACGTCTGTTAAATATAGTTTGCGAGTATAAATGACAGTTAGCTACAGTTTACAACCGAAATCTATGGTTAACGAATGTAAAACATATTTTATCTGATAAATATAGTTTCGCAATATGTAAAACTTTGATTAACAACTCTTAACTATGGTTAACGAATGCAAATTATAGTTTACATATGAGAATCTATATTTATCAGCAAAATCTATTGTTAACGTTTAAACATAGATTAGCATTCGTAAACTACACTATACAACCGTTAAATATAGTTTTACAAAGGCAAACTACAGTTAACGAATCGTTAATATCGTTTTATAGTTTACAATCGATAAACCTAGTTTATCAACTGTTAAACTATGTTTATCTAATTTTTATGAATTTGGCAGGCCATAGTTGAATAATTTCAAAATACATTTTTTTTTCCATAAATTCATTTACCAGGTACTACAAGATGTTTAAATGAGAACAGACTCAGTGTCACCAACTTCTGTAGCTGATATTAAACATCACAAATGGAGAATCTATTTACATTGTCTCTTAATCACCAGAATCTGTTGATCTGAGTGCTCCGGAGGCTTCTTTGGAAGCCTATTGGTTTTGTGGTGAATAATTGATCAATCATCGGTAGCCTATGGTAGTCAGCTTATGTATATATATTACAACAGGGAGGTGTTAATCTTTTGCTTTTCGATTCCTAACTCCCATCAGTTGGACAGATTCAATGGAGCTGTGTTTCGGAGGATATTTACAAAAATCTGTAACATGTTGCAATGTAAAAAGATGTGAATACTTTTGGTGCTTTTTAGGAAATAAATTTTAATGTGTTATGGTTTTGGCTAAAGGTTAATATAAAGTAATTGATTTTGATTAGACATTGGTATTATATGTGTATTACAATTATTTTTGTGAAGTTAGAAGAACTACTCAAAATGAAATCGCCATTCAAAGTGAGTTTGGGACAATTTTAACATTGTTTCAAGGAAAAAGTTTTTGAAGCACTTTCCTCAGACTACTCAGACTTGTAAAATGGAGATGAAATAGAACATGGAAAGTCACATATCCTTTGGATACTGTTCTGTGCTAGGGAAGGTGGACCCCTACAAAGAGATGGAGGAAACATCTCAGTTAATCAGAGGTGGGGGGCAGGAGTCTGTTCTGATCCTTGAGAAACAGTCCTCCCCCACTTATCAGGATCATACGTGTTGTGTAAAGTGTTCAGGAGGTCACCGTCAACCATCTAGTATCTTTGACATTTTCTGGAATCAGATTAATGGAAAATGTTGCCCTATGGTGAAATCCCAAGTTTGCCATCAACAAGGAGTCTATTCTCTGGGATGTTTTAATGTATATATGTAGGTACATATATTCTAAATGTATTTGTAGGAGATATAACTACAAGTCATATTGGAAACTCTCCAATTGATTGAAGTATTTTTTGATAGTCTAACATTGCAGAGAAAATGAATTTTATGTACTGCTTAATTAGTTTACATACATTTTTAATGCCATATCTCCTGTATTAAATCTGATATATTGACATTTGGAAAGTTTTTGCATGTCCATCTATAGTGTAAACATGTCAGTTATATTCTCTCTATAGAGTACATGTAGAGTATTCAATCCATCTCTTTTTCAGTCTATTTCTCTTGATATCAATCATTTTCTCTCCTAAAATTGGACAAAAGCTGCAAATCTGATTTCTGAACCCTTTGTTAAAATTACAAAAGGACGCTAATTTTAAGCTCAGACTAGCATTTTATCATCTCTAACAATCAGTTCACTAGTTTGTACACCCCCACATGGTATGTTCTCTAATTTTTGCAGAAATATTGACAGGCGGATTTTTGAAAAACTATTTTATGCCAACTCAGAACACTTAAAACACTTAAAATAATCTGGGAACCTTATATAGGTTTAATAATCTCAAGCTGTGTTGGGAATTAAGTTGACGGAAAACAAATAATTTGCAACAGTATTACTTCTAAAGTTACTGCTGTGCTTGGTAATGAAATTTATTTCTTATTACAGTCAAGTTGACAGGTTTATTCAGGCATTGAAGTAATCCTTATAATAGATTTAATTCATTTTTGTTTTAGCTTACATTAACTAAGTTGGGGAGAGCTTATGTTGCACCGTGAGTTACTTCCTGTATCCCAGGTTGTCATAACTTGTCAAAGATTTCCTGAATTTTAGAAGTAAAAAGTCATACATATAAACTATTGGAAGAAATTACTTCTGCAAGGAAATACCTCAAAGTCCATCTTGCATGTTTGCTTATGGATTGTGTATGATAAAGGAATGTTGATAGATAATCTTTTCATACAGTACCGACCAGACACAACCTAACAGAAAGCGAACCCAGAGCGCACCCCGGGTTCGCTTTCTGGGTTCGCTTGGGGTTCGCTATAGCGAACCCGGAGCGAACCCGCAGCGGACCCAGAGCGAACCCGCAGCGGACCCAGAGCGAACGCCGAAAGCGAACCCCAAGTTCAGTAGCGAACCCAGAGAGCGAACGCGCGTTCGGTGTTGCGTAACAGAGCTGTCAATCAGGATTAGCGATAAAACGTGTTAACCAATCAGCGGGTCGACCAATCAGCATGCCAGTTTGTCATTCGATGTAAATAAAACATTGTACAAGCAAAGCGTGTTAATGTACAGTGTGAACTATTTCAACATTATCAAAAAAAAAAAAAACCTAAATTAATATATTTTAATTATCCAGGTAGCATATTATATTTACACATTTATTTATTTATTTTTCATTTTCAAAATCCATTAATATACATTGCGTAAATTTATCAGACAAAACATACCCTAATATATAAAAGAAATAAAAAAGAAAGCAATGGTTATTACAATTGTTACATAAAACAAAAAAATGGTTTCTGATAAATTATAGCATTTCATCATCTCAAGATACTGTACAAGATTATGTATATGTACGTGCTTTTATTCAATTATTTTATTTTTATAATTCTAATGTACATTTTCGTTTAAATCCAGATCAACATCAAAATAATTGATCTTCTTAATTGAAAATAAAATTTAAAAAAATGAATGTACAGCATAAATGTGCATGTACAAATATGTCCAATCGCAAACTACTACATTATGGTACTAATTTGATTAATCATTTACAAAAATTAATGTTAAGCTTGATTTAGCTTTTTTTTTTTTAAACTGAAATAAAAAGAAAAAATGAAGCGCGATTTACATAATTGAACGAACTAATTATCGGATTAACTAGGCAAAATAGTAAGTCGTACAATATTGTATTCTCTTAAAATATCGTAACTTTTACTGATAAAGCGTATTTAAGATGTTTAACGATTTTTCTCTGATGTTAATCATGTTAACTGCTAATTGTAGTCATGGTATTTTTATATCAATACATCAAAAATGTATATTAAAAAAAAAGAAAGAAAGAAAGAAAAAAAAAATCCCGATACTTACATATATTTAGTCGGCAAATGTACACGACATGATTGTCGGGGTTACTTTTCATCCCTGATACTTGTTATTATTTTATATATATATATATATATCATTTCTGCAAATGAATGATTTTTTTTAAAACAGATTGCTGATTTTTGAAATTCATAAATGGAAAGATGATTATAGTATAATTATAGTATAATTCATTTTTAGGCCATTTTTAAAAATCTACCCCCTTACTGCATATCATAAAATCCAATTGAATCAAAATTCACGACCAACCTACATGTACATGTATATCATGTGATAGAAAATGCAGCATTTGATCATAAGTTACATGTTTACATGTCAAAAACATAAAAAAAAACAATTTTCCTAAGTCTGAGATTTACACAAATAATCATTTGTAATCTAAAATGACTATTAAGTCTTATTTACATGTAGTTTCAAAAATATTCATTTCTAAATATTTTATTTTTCTTTCAGTTTTATAAAGTCGATGAATTTCACCAGTAAATATTTCTAATCTAAAATATCTATTAAATAAATTAAGCCTTATTTCGTCTTAAAAATATCCACTCCTAAATATCTTTAACTATTTTGCGTACAAAAATCGTGCGTTTGCGGTAACAGTCGTGAATGATCGTGTAACATGAAGAATCGTGTGATTGAAGGATTAATCTTGCGAAATCGTTCGTGTAACGTGATCGTTCCTATATGTTGTCAACAATAACGTTGCAGCCATTGTACATGCACATGTATCGATCGCCTCAGAAACAACAATGATCGATTTCACTACTGTATTTGGAATATACAAGGGGCGGGGCTTACTGGCGGCAAGATTAAAGCGGGATCCGCTTCACGCATGAGTGCGTAAAGCGAACCCAGAAAGCGAACGCCGGGTTCGCTCTAGCGGACCCAGAGCTGACCCCGAGCGAACCCGAAGCGCACCCAAGGCGAACCCCAGAGCGAACCCAAAATTTCTGAAAGCGGACCCGCAGCGGACCCCGAGCGAACCCAGAAAGCGAACCCGGGGTCCGCTTTGGGTTCGCTCTGGTGTTAGGTTGTGTCTGGTCGGTACTGTACTTGCACAAAACTTCACAGTGCATATTGGGTAAAATAGGTTCATAATTGTTCTTTAAAGATGTAGAGGTTTTGTGTCAAAAAATGAATAAATAAATGGCATTCATTATTGATCAATAACACAGTGATGAATACAATGACTCTATAATTTCAGAGCTAAGGAAAGTCATCAGATAGCACAAGCAACAGCAGAGAAGAATGCGCGTATTAAGGAGGCCTTTGGCATCGGTGAAAACTATGTAGATGGTTCCTCGTTTGATCCAAACCGAAAGGCTAAAGAGGAGCAGGCAAAGGCTGTAGCATTGGCACAAAAGAGATATGAGTAAGTAGCACACACTGCTGCAAAGATTTGCTATACAAAAATATTCTTAGGTTTGAAATGCAAACTCAAATAATTATATGCAGTTATCTAGAAATCAACTTTTTAGCTCACCTTAGCCAAAGGCTCAAATGAGCTTTTCTGATCAAAATCTGTCCATTTTCTGTTGTAGTTGTTGTCTTCATAAACTTTTCACATTTTTGATTTCATCTCAAGAACCACTGGGACAATTTACACCAAACTTGCCACAAAATATCATTTGATGAAAGGGATTCAAGCTTATTCAAATGAAGGTTCACACCCTCTTTCAAGGGGAGATAATTAAGAATTAGTGAAAATTTAATGGCACCATCTTCTAACAATCTTCTTCTCAAAAACTACTGGACCAGAAAAGATGAAACTTGTATGAAAACTTCATTACATAATGAAGATTCAATTTTTTTCTAATCATGACTCTGGGGTAGGGTGGGGCCACAATAGACAATCAGTTATACATAGGAATATATAGGGGGAAAAATGTTAAAAGTCCTCTTAGATTCTAATTTGTTCATATCATTCAAATTGAGCCCTGGGAGTAGGGCAAGGCCACAATAGAAGAACAAAGTTTTACGTAGGAATATATAGGAAAAAATCTTTAAAAATCTTCTTCTCAAGAACAGCCCTGATTAGTAATGTTAATATGAAAGTGTCCTCAGATAGTGTGTAGATTCATGTTTGTCCAAATCATGGGGGTAGGGTGGGGCCACAATCATAGATCAAATTTTACAAAGGAATATATTGGAAAAAATTTGCTGATGGAGAACAGCAGGGCCATAGTGACTTAGGTGAGCATTGTGGCCCATGGGCCTCTTGTTTAATTCTCCACTGTTTCAAAACATGCAAATATAAATATGTTGTTGTTTTCTTCCTCTTTCAGCATTGTAAGAGATTCCAGTTCATCAGAGCGATCCCCTTCACCTCCTCCAAAAAGGAAGAAGAAGAAGTCCAGCAGGTAATTTCACTTAAATATTAAAGCAGAAAGACATATAATAAACTTTGTTTATAACACATCACAAAGGACTATGGAAAATTATAACTTATAGGAGTGTAAGTTATATAACCTCAGACTGGAAGTAGATTGTACATACAGCTAAAATACCAATATGTTGTTCTCTTCTAATAAAATTACATGCATTTGTGCAGCAGGAATAAAATGTATATAATATATTAATGTATTTCAGAGTGGAATGGTTGAGTCACAATAAAGGTTCAAAGTTTAGCATAGCTGTACTTAGAGAGAAAAAATATTTAAATGTCTTCTGTAAAAACAGCAAAACTACAAATTAATAAATTAATTAATAATAACATTATTAATAAAAATAAACTAGTATGTTTATGTTGTGTAGATTTGTTTGTTCAGGTTATGACCCCTGGGGTAAAAATGAGGACACAATTGGAGGGGGAGGGGTGTCAAATTTTAAAAAGATGTATACCCTATTAGGATAATTACTTTTCTCAGAACAAGAAGGCCAATGTAAGTCAACCCTGACCTTAACAGGACCAAAATATGGGGTCAATGTTATACATACAAATGGTGCAATTTTGTAGGGAAAAAATGTCTATTCAATTGCCAAATAAATATTGCAGCTAAGTAAAATTATTATGCTAGCATCCCCATTTAGCATAGATAAAATTTCTTTCAACAAAGCAGCTGGAATTAAGATACTGTCCCTGAATGGGGTATGTTTCTAATCAATAATGTCATGTGAAGTATACCAATTACACAAAGATTATTAAGTTTTCCAGACAATCTGCTTGGTACAAAGCCGTCTGGGTAAACAAGATGCCAGTATGCATGAAAGTCACAAAGCACACAGTAGGATGACATAGGTTACCAATACTTCAATCTTATGCTTCAGGAAATAGGGGGAAAAAGCAATATTGTGACCCAGATTACAAATCATTTGTAACACAATGTGATGGTATTATTTATGGTACTGTTCCAGCAGATGATCAGATTCAGTAAGAAGCTACATCTTGATCTTTTCAAATGACATTTTGATTGTTTCAGAGATGACAGTAATTCCCCAGAGAGAAAAGAGAAAAAGAAGAAAAGTAAAAAGCGCAAGCGTGATCGGTAGGCTATCGTTCCTTGGAGGAGAAGTATTAATCTGATATGTTATAGCATTACACGTTGTTCACTACATCAAACTTAACAGGTGACAAAATCGGGCAGTTGTGCACTTCCTGAGAATATGAATTGGCTTCCCCTGTGGAAACTAAGGGGAAAATTGTTTTATTTGTCTGCCTTTTCCTTAAGCTTTGTCTTTTTTTTTGAGTTTAAGTTGCTTTCTTATTTCCAGTCAGTTACATAACTATTACCTGGATTTTCATTTTGATTTATTTAAGAAAAAAAAGTAAAGAGAGAAGGGGAAACAATTTTCACATTATCTGCTTTGTAGAGATGACTTAATTTGTATGTAAAGCAATCATAGTTGTCTGTTGGACAAAACATACTTTAATTATTATTCTTTATTTTTGTTGATATTTATGTATATATTCTTCTTTTTAGTTGTGTCACCCTTTTTGTACAATTTATATTTCACTTTCTCTATGTAGTTTGTACATTGTCAGTGTCAGATGTGTTACATTCATTTTTTCTCATGATGAAAGAGCACAATGCATAGGGTTTATGTTGTGCATTAAAGTAAACTGTTGATGTATCATATTTTTAAATGATTACCCTCATGAAATTCATTGGCATATTGTGGTCACATTGCCCAGAAATAAAATTCTGAAGCAGTGTCAAAAATTTTCACTTGTGGAGAAAAAAAAGTCTTCTCTTAAATGGAAATAGTGTAAATGGTTTATTAGTTGTCAACATCTATAACTTCAAAAAATTTAGAACTTGGAAATAAAATTGATCTGCATGGGTGTATATTGTACCATTGGTGGTTTGGCAATACTTATGTGAAGAATTGCAGACATTTTTCTATTCCAGAGAGAGTGAAAGGGGGGGGGGGATTGAGAGCAAACAATATTTTTTATCCATTCATTTTCTTTGAAATCATAGTTTTGGAGAGATCTCTTCATCCTAACTTGCATATATATATAAAATGCTTGATAAATTTCTTTTGTTTTTGTGGAAGCCTTCACATTCAATAGCAGGTAATTTCACTATTTCAGTTTAGTTTTTATCTATTGTTTTTGTTTTTCCCTCCTGTATTAATTATTTTAGTATAATTTACAAAGTGGTACAAGTACTTACATGAGGCTTCAGTGACAATTGATATGTTTTATGTGAAAATGCTGCAAATTATATAAAAACCATTATCTTTTTATATACAAAGTGTTTCAAACAATGCAGTATTGAAATAAAATGCAGAGTTTAACTTAATTTCTCTTTATTTCTTTTGAAGTTGACAAAGGAAAATAGGTTTCTTTGATGGTAATTTAAAATGTGATGAATCCAAATAGAAGCATTTTTTTTTTATTTGTACGATGCCCGAAGGATGAAAATTATGTTATGCTATATACATGTTTAATAATCATATAAAAATTAACCATACAACCATAATCTCTTTTGTGGGGAATTTTTAACCTGAGCAATGGGCTTAAATGAGCAATTCAGATCAAAGTGTTCAGTGTCTGTATGTCCATCTTTCTGTCACCTGTTGTCTGTAAACTACTCAATTTTTTTAATTTCTTTGAAAACCCCCAAGTCAGTTTTAACCAAACTAATCAGAAAACATCCATGCATGAAGGGATTTACCAAAGGGATCTATAAGAGAAGTTATTTAGGGGATCGTAAAAAGGGGTGGCATCATTTAAAAGTATAATGAACCCCTGGCAAGGGAAGACAAATACTTTATACATAGTACTTTTCTTTCAACTCTTGGCCATTGAGAATATGTTACAGTCAGAGGGCCATTGAGAATATGTTACAGCCAGAGGGCCATTGAGAATATGTTACAGCCAGAGGGCCATTAGAATACCTTCTTAAGAACAGCAGAGCCATTGTTAAATCATTTTGATGTAGATTTAATCAAAGTTTGTTCACACTAAGACCCTCATGTTGTGTAGAATAATAATTGTCTGTGTCATACTTAGGATGGGACCACAAAAGAGATTTATTATGGGAATTGTTAGAAAATACTCTTTGAAAATCTTTCTTTAATTTTATTTTTTTTATGTTGTATTGCAAACAACATTATGTGGCTTCAAGTTTGAAAGTTGTAGCCCATGGAGTTGGGGTATTGTAACAAGTAGATTACGAAGCTTAATTTACGTAAACCATTGTTGAAACCATTGGCTTTAACAGCCACAATAATGGGTTTTATTTGCGTACTGTAAGTACATAATTATCTTAAAGTGAGCATTATGGCCCATGGGCCTGCATAGAAATTTTTACTTCAATGTTTTGTTGTCAACTTGGCAATTCCTGATATGAAAGTGGGGATTAGAATATTTTGCATTCTGATTCTGCAAAATTTGGTCAACCTCAGAAAAAAATCTTTTTAAATCATTCATTTTTTTTTAATTGTTCCTTTTGTTATGATTAAAGTGACAGAAATTTAAAAAAAAAGTTTCATTAAATAAGTGGTAAAAATTTGTATGTTGATGATATTTTGTGACTGAAAACAATAATATAACCGTTTCCATCATTTTTTGAATGCTTCTCCCAAAATTTGTCGAGTAAGGTTTTAAGGTAAGGCTTACAGTGTATTCCTGTTTATATATGGTACTGCAATGATCTATCTGGACAAAAATCTAGCCATTATTGACAAATTTTATGTCTTATTTGTTCTCCACAAGAGTGCATCACATAACTTCTCACTGAATGTGTTATAAACTTAAATTTATTTGCTCAAGTAATAAATTCGAACACCAGATATTTTATCAATGAGATCCTGTGGTCTTTGAATGGAAAACAATTATTCAATGATTATGTAGTAAAATAAACATTATTTCAAAATGTGAAGTGATGTGTGATGCATTGTTGGTACTGTTCAGAAAACTTGATGAGTAGTTATGACTGAAATGCTAGTTGTTTTTGTCATTACTCAGGGGTTTTCTGATTTGTAGTTATAAATGTTATCAGTTGCAGGTTTGCTGATAAATTAATTCATATCAGGACTGAAGTTTGAGCCAGTTAAAATGTTCATTCATGTTGTTATTTCTAGGAAGATCATTTTCAAGTTTCAAACTAACATGAATTTTATCATCGTTCATCTTTTTTTATGAATTTAGTTTCATTTCCATCACACACGTCACATTTAAATATTTGTTCCTTTTATCCTTGTAAAAAACTGTTTGCTCACCATAAATTCCTTTCAGAATGCCAAAAGTTTTTCAAAATAACACATTAATTTCAATGCATTTATTTTTCTACTAATACTGAATTTTATACTGATAATGGAAGAAATGCCTCTTGACTAACTTTTTTGCATCTACTAGAGCATCTTGTGTTTGAAATGTTTCAGCTCACATTCTAACAAGCATAGTCGCAGTACTAATAGACGAAGAAGACAGAACAGGTAAATAGGTGTAGTGCTGTGGACGGACTTTATCTTATCTGTGCATGATTTCTAATTTTTGTGGCATTTGTTTTTTCTGAAAATTTCTATTTTTTTAATTTATTTTCATTTTATTTTGGTCATATTTGGTGAGCATGACAATCTGTATTAAAAATGTTTTTATTTTTTTGTTTATGTAAACAATAAAGAGTAAGCATGAATGTACACAGTCTTCTGTTGAATTTTCTCTGGTTTTTGTTGAGACACAGTAAATTTTTTTTGTTTTTTTTCCCTTTATATATATATATATATATAAATATATTTTGTTTCTTGCACACTGGTTATTTTGCAGATTTTAGCTCACCTCAACGAAGTTGGGAGAGCTTATGTAATACCCTCAGAGTCCCAGGTTAAAGTTTTTGGAGTAGATTTCTTTTCAAATACTTCTATGCCCTATATTAATCAGAGATGCATGGAGGATGCTTCTAGGGTGTTTCACTGTACCAGTCAAGGTTTCAGATGCTGCAATTTCAGCTAAAGAATGACCAGGTTAATGTTTCTAGAGCAGGTTTAAGTTTTTGGAGCAGGTTAAAGTTTTTGGAGCAGGTCTCATTTCCAGGAAACTATAAGCCCTATGTTGACCAAACTTGCAGGGATGATACACCTAAGGATGCACACTACCAGGCTTGCTTCGGATGATAGATCTGACCTACATTTGTCAGATGCGTGACCAGGTTAAAGTTTTTGGAGCAGATCTCATTTCCAAGTAACTATAAGCCCTATATTGACCAAACTTGCATGGATGATACATTTAAGAATGCACACTACTGGACTTGCTTCGGATGCTGGATCTGACCTATATTTTCTGGATGAGTTTTTGGAGCAGATCTCATTTCTAATTAACTATAAGCCCCATATTGACCAAACTTGCATGGATGATACATCAAGAATGCACACTACTGGATTTGCTTCAGATGCTGGATCTGACCTACATTTCTGGATGAGTGACCAGTTTTTGGAGTAGGTCTATTGCCAAGAAACTATAAGGCCTATCTGAACCAAACTTGCATAAATGTTGATCTAGGGATGCACACTACTAGATTATTAGTTAAGTGTGAGAGTTTGCCTTACTTAAAGACAACATTCATTTAGGTGAGCTCTGTAATCTCTGATTACCTATGTTCAATTATAAATTCTCTATTGTTAAGAGCTGAAAAGCTGCAAAAAGATCCAGTTAGCATGTTGAAATTTTAGTATTTATTCCAATGCATTTTTAAATTGGTGCATTTTAAAACTATAACAAGATGTGTTTGTGAAACACTGATGCCCCCCGTATGGCAACTTATAACAAAGGTTAAACTTTCTCAAATGCAAATCAAATATGTTGATACCCAAAGTAAGGTCTTGTCTCAAGGAATAAACCTGTGAAATATGAAAGGTCTAGCGACAACCATTGAATAGGTATGGAAAAGGTTAAAGTTTTTTCAAAAGTATGTCAAACATCAACGTCAAATGGTCAAAATAATGGTGCTAAAGGAAAGGCCTTCTCCCAAGAAATACACAGGTGAAATATGAAAGCCGAAGCACCAATCATTCAAAAGTTATGGCCAAGGTTAAAGTTTTCCCAAAGTAGGTCAAACTCCAAGGTCAAAGGGTCAAAGTTGTTGGTATCCAAAGGAGGTCTTGTCACAAGGATTACACAGGTGAAATATGAAAGCCCTAACACCAACTGTTCAAAAGTTATTGCACAGGTTAAAGTTTGGTAAAATTTTGCAAAACTGGGTCAAACTCCTAGGTCAACGTCTAAAGGTCATATATGGTGACACCCAAGGAAAGGTCTTGTCATAATGAACACTCATGTCAAATATTAAAGCCTTACCCTTGACAGTACAATAGTTATGGGCTAGGTTAAAGTTGACAACAGACAGACAGACAAACAAGACAAAAACAATATACCCCGGGATCTTTCGATCCTGGGCATAAAAAATGATATGGTATTAAATATTCTTTGTGAATGCACCATTAAAGACAAATACTTTGCTTGCTTCTCGCCCAAGTTATGGTGATGCTGACAACATAATTCAAAACCTCAAACAAGATATTCTCAAGATCCTAGAGACAAGACATGAAATTTGATAACCTGGTAAAAAGAATAGGTTCATGTTTGATTCTTTTTTGTATTTAGGATATTATAATGGTTTCATTTTTTTGCAAAAATACAATTTTAAGTTCTTTATAAAGTATCAAAAGCAAAATTTACATGAGAAAACTCGCAACTTTCAGATCACAATCTGATGCTCACAGATTGAGTTTTGAGATTAAAGAAGATAAGAAATTTTAAAAGTTTATTTCGAAAGAAAGAAACGTGTCCCATTCCTCCTTTTAAACATTTTCACTTTCTTTGAAATTGCTGAATCAGTTTCATCAAATTTCTCAATACATTGTAAAGCATTAATGGATAAAAAAGAAAACAAAAATTGTAACAAGGGCACCACAAAGTGGAGCATCCCCTCACTAAAAAGCACATGGATCCCGATATAATACTTGCGTAACTTCCATTATGCATGCACTCACTCACACCCCACACACAAGCACGTTACTACATCTCCCTTCAAATTCGCTGTGAGGGGATAATAAATTTCATGGTCCCCTTTCCTATCCCACCTTGGGCCCCAAGGACAGTATTATCAGAAGTAATGCTTACCTCATAGTAAACCATGGACAGATAGTGTAGAGAACTCTTTGCTTGATTTATTAAATCAAGCACATTATAATCAAGTTGATTACAATGAGCAATTAACCTCTTAGTCCTCAGTTCAGGTTAGAGGGCAAGGTTAATGGTCATATACTGAAAATGTGTCACATATTTTAAAATTATTGTCTATTAGCAGAGAAACTGTAGACATGAGTATACTTAGCAAAAAATTATTGAAAATCATGTCCTTTTAATGTCCACCGTTCATATCACATTGGTAGGACTTTGTTGGTAATACATTGAAAATGCATAATATCTTTAAAATCATGATTATTTAGGCAACAAACTATGTGCATGATGATGAACAGTGAGCCTCCTTCCAAAAGTTTTAATTTATTTTTTCTTGGTCAATTAAGCTTTTTTGTCATCCTTATTCTAGATTTATCTTGCATTCTGAATAAGTTTGAGACCATATCACTTTTAAGGAAATGGAAATTTGTTAAACATATTCTATTGTAAATCATATATTTTGCTTGACTTTATTTCTGATAGACACTGCAGCAGAGCAAGATTAATGTTTTGCGTGTCCTATACAACTACGAATACTATATATATGATTTACAAGATACTTATTTTCATGCTGAATTTGGCAAACATAAAATTCTCAGGAATAAAATGTCATTTTCTGTACTTGAGGTTTAAAAAGAAAATTAGGAAACAAGATAAATTTCCAGTTGGGTTACTAAGTATTCGATAACATAAGAGAAAAATTGTATCCAGAGTACATGTATATTTTACATAGAATTCAAGACAGTAAGTTCTAGAACATATGTACAAATGTAGTAGAATGTCAACTTTATATGTTAGGTTGAATTTTTATGCCCCAATAATGAAGATTCAGGGGCGTACATTTTTTAGTCTGTCTGTCTGTCTGTTTGTCTGCAAAAACTTTAACCTTGCCCATACCTTTTGATTGGTTAGAGGTAGGGCTTTCATATTCCACATGTGTATAACTTGTGAAAAAACCTTTCTTTGGTACCAACATTTTTTACCTTGACCTTGAGTTTGTTCTACTTTTGAAAACTTTAATTTTGACCATAACTTTTGAACTGTTGGCACTAGGGCTTTGAAGTATGACTTAAGTAATTCTGGTGACAAGACCTTTCTTTTGGCACCAATATTTTTGACCTCATGACCTTGACCTTTGAGTTTGACCTACATTTGAAAAAAAAAACTTTAACCTTGCCAATGGTTTTTGAAGAAGTGGTACTTGGGCTTTCATGTTTCACTTACATATACTTTGTGACATGACCTTTCCTTCAGTACCAATGTTTTTGACCTCATGACCTTGACCTTAGAGTATGACCTACTTCTGAAAAACTTAAATCTTGGCCATATTTTGTGAATGGTTGATTCCTTGTGACAAGACCTTTCTTTGGGTACCAACCTGTTTGAACTCTTGGGTTTGACCTACATTTGAAAAAAGAACTTGAACCTTGGCCTGAGCTGCAATACGGGGGCATCAGTGTTTCACAAATACATCTTGTTATTTTTTTCATGAATTTAAGTCTAATGTGAAATGGAAATATATATTAATCAAATTTTCACGTTCTTGAAACCCTTTAAATGAAAACAATCATACAATATTGGCCTTAATTGGACGGTGTACACTACAGATGTAAGAACTTTCCTGTTGTAAAATATTTTTATGAGCTTCATCCCAAACTGTCATTAAGCCTATGATGCGATTATGACTGCTAAAGCATGACTGATGATTGTTAAGAAGATTAATAAAACGAAAACATAATGACAGCTTATCCTATCAATCAATTCTTTCGGGTTTTAACCAGGGAGACAGACCCAGATAGATTCAAAAAAGAATATGAAAAAAAAAAAATGTCCAATGTAGTGATTAATGAGGTAAATGAATATTTTTTTAATTTGCTGTTGTTATCTGTTAATGCAACAAGCTCTCGTCACAAAAGGCGACGGAGGAAGAGGCGAGCTTGTACACCACCACAATCAAGTCAAAGCTCACAGAATAGGTAAGGTCCAAACAAAAATGCAAATATGATAAACAAAAATAATACAAAAAAGTAAAGTTATAGTGGTATTCAGGTTGTATCCTTTAACTCGATAATGAGTGATGTCACAAGCCGGAAAGAGATCATCCTCACAATGTCAAGGTATCTGGAGTCAATAAGTTGCTGTCCAACGTTGTGAGAATGCAAAGAGATCATCTGTTGAGAAATTCTTACTATAGTACATGTACTCATCGTCGCAAGCCACGGGTTTTATGTCCATTCTATTTGTGGAAATAGAATGGACACAAAACCCGTGGCTTGCGACGATGAGTACATGTACAACTAGTATATTGTAAAACTTGCTTATAAGAAATTTATTTGGACACTTGCATTCAATAGAGATCGTTAACTTTCCATTTACAGAAACACATGTCCTATCTCATAGTTTATTTCACCCTCACTTGTTTTTGCTCGAATTAAGGTTCATCACCCCTCTGCTCACTCCTATATTGAAATATGGAGATAACGAACAGTAATCAAGCTCAAAAGTCAATTGAAACAAGACAAATCAGGAGCAGAGCAAACACGGATCGATCCCTAAAAAACATCAGAGGTTGGATCAGGTGCCATGATCAGGCTATAAAATTGTTATAAAGCTTATGATTTTCCAAAAGAAATCTAATTTTTAATTAAAATGCACATAATTTCGTCATACTTTGAGGGGCAAAATTTGACAGGAATAGCCTGTTACTAGTAACTTGAAATTTTATCAAGGAATAATAGTCATATATATCCCACTGAGAGTTATCTCTCTTATGAGAGTATCAATGAACCTTAAGGTATTAGGTTTCACATAATGGGGATTCGTTCAAACGGTAAAAAGGAATTCTAATAATTTTATTCATAGATAGATAGGTTTTGGTTTTTTTTCAAAATTACATATACATGTAGAATCTAGGCTATTTCTTTTGCTGGGAGTATGTTCCTTCCCTGACACACACACATTGTAAAAACTCGTCGCTTCAGTATAGATTTTTTATGTGAACACGTTCTTTTCTTTTTTGAAAATGTACTAAATTTTTCTTCCCCGAAAATATAAACTTGGTAATGAGCAGGGAATTTTAAGCAGATATTCCCAAATGAAAGTTCTGTATAATTGTGTTTCTTCACATCTGGATACACACAGTACACGCATGTTAATGTGCCCCCCCCCCCCCCCGAACCCTGGAATTTTCAGAGTTTTTAAATTTATATGTAATCGAATACATTTGCATCAATTTCACATAATTTCTGCGAGTTCTTAAAGATTTTATATCTTTACCTGATAGGTGTCGTGATTATACATATACACCATTTCAATGCAAACAAATAATTACACAATACTATATAGAGACAAAAATGTTTATACTCATTTTAGATCCAAGGATTACAAATCTATGTAGGACGGGATCAGTAGGAGAATCAGATCAGATCAAAGTTATACATTCAAATATACAGGAAATCTGATCAAGATCAACACTTAGTAAAATTAAGTTTATACCATTTGCACATTTGGAATGAGGAATGCTTCTGAGGCTCTTGTTTTTTACCACAAGCATCGGACGCATAGATGGCGCAACCACCCAACTCCCCACCCCTTCTGAGAATTTTTGACACGAAAACTTATCAAAAATACGTTCAGGGTGCAAAACCCCCGACTGAAAATGGACTTGGAGGTTTCAGAATGTAATGATTATACTTAAATTGTCCTGCACAGAAATTTTACCAGATAACTATTTAAAAAATCAACTAGTACTTACCATGATTCTATTTCAATCTGCAAAAATTGACAAAATATCTGCAGCAGTGCTTCACAATTTGGTGTAAAAAAAATTTTCAGAAGAAGAGAATATGGTCTTCCGTCCGTCTGTGAACATTATTTTTAGAAACAAAATATTTTCTGCAATGTATTGTTGATTAAGGGAGGGTATGGTGGTCTTGAAAAAAAAAATAGTTAGGCAGTTGCCTCCTTGCCACACTGGAACCTACGCCCCTGGAACAAACTTGAATGCTAACCCCTTACCTGAGGATGCTTTCTTATCCATTTCACTAGTCATGGTCCTTCTGTTTTCCAGTAAATTTTTCTCAAGATTATTTTCCCAAAATATTCCCTTATAAAATGTTGATCCCATACTGTGGCCCCACCTTAATGCGGAAGCCATGATTTGAACAATTTGAATCTGCACTACCTGAAGAAATTGCATGATAAGCAAGAACCGATATTTTTTTTTTTTTTTTTTTGAAAAAAACTTTATATAGATTTTTCCTAGGATTTCCATTTGTGGCCCCCACCCTACATCTAGAGGCCTTATTTGGGGGGGGGGATCTAAACTATGTCAGGAAGCTTTGGCATACTAAGTAAGTTAAATTGTTTCTAACCCAGTGATTCTTGAAAATATTTTTTTAAGATACCAACCTTAATTTTGCCTTGTCTTAATTGTATTCCCTTTCAAAAGGGCGAATATCCATGATTTGAACAAACTTTAACCCCTTTATCCAAGAATGTTTGGTTACAAGCTTGGTTGAGATTTCCTTTATAGTGTTCCTAAAGAAGAAGTCGAAAATGTAAAAAGTTTAAAAACACTGAAAGTGTCTTATCCCTCCCCCCTTCCCCTACCCAAAAGATGCAGGTAAGTCAATAAAAATATGGGAAATAAGTTATGTAAGGATTTCTTCAAGGGCTGCAATTCTACGAAGAAGTGGTAGGATAATTCCATAGTTTATTATTTTTTTTTAATAAAGGCTTTTCTTGCTCTGTAATTCTTAAGCATTTATGCATTGGTAATTTATATAATAATAAATATAAAGTACTAATAATAAATTGATAAACTTAAAAAATTTAAGGGATCCGACTGGAGTTCTATTGTGTAAACACTACAATAGAAGAACTCTTAATTTTTTTATCATATTTAACTTACATTGACGTCACTACATGCCAAGTTTCAGGAAAATCTATAGGGACAATCTCAAGATATAGGTACATTTACAATAGGAATATATTGGAAAATGCTAGTTTTTGGCATTTCAAAGCATATTTTACAAACACCACAATAGACTTTTTGCTCAAATTAAAATACATGATGAGTAATACTTTATTGTACAATATATGTAAGAAATGCAAAATTCTATCGTCTGGTTTCCAGAGGGGGCATCTCAAAATCATCAGGGCAAAGGCTACACTGGTGATGTCCATAGGCTTCTTATTAGATTTTATGATTTCGTTGCCGGACATTACTTCAATGACAAGATTTTTTAAAAAGTGGACATCTTGTCTGCACATAACTTCGAAACCGGGAAACCTCAGGGACTTATACTTTATATATGGCATTAACTTCTCCGAACTTAGTCGATACTCAAGAATATGCTTCGAATACAATCAATTTTTAAACCGAGGCAGGCTACTGACAAATAAGTTGATGTTACAGGGATTTTAAAACTTTGTTTTATGTCAGCATTTCGTAAAATCTATGGTTGTTAATGACATTGTTTGCAAATACAACCTAACATTCGGTCGTATTTTGACTGACATATTTCATCCCATATCAGGACATTAAATTAAATTTGATTACGGATTATTCCGTCTACCCGATCAATACATAGGGCTAGGCACCTGATCCCACCTCTGGAATTTCCAGGGATCCGTGTTTTTCTGTCCTATTCATAGATTTCTGTTATTTGTAGGTTTTATGAGATCGATCACTGTCTTATCTTCATAATTGTCATTATACAGAGGTAGCTTATGATCAGAGGCGTGCCTTGATCCTGTACCAAGGTCACTTTGAAGAATTTAAGGTGAAAAGGTAGAAAAGCACCATTGTTCTAGCCACAACTTTGAAATGGAGAAACATTAGATTGATACACATGTGGCTTGGGGGGGGGGGGGAGGGGGGGTAAGTCCTGACCCCAACATAGAGTAATTTGGACAAGGTCAAGAAACGTAAAGCACGCACTGCCTTTTCGACAAATTTTACGTATTTTATGCATTATTGTACGATTCAACTTGTGTATGAAAAATCAATGATAAAAAAGAAAGTCGAAACGAGTGTAGCTTACATCTCTTTACACTTTAAGAGGAAATCTGGAATTTCAACACGAAGGAGCTCAAGTACACATATACATTTTGAAATTTATTGTACTGTCATAGATATCATATTCACCCTAATATGCGTGCGATTACCATTAATAGTCATTATAAGGACATATGATGGACGATTCATTATGCTGCGCCTAAGTAAATGAAGAAATCCATTTACATGTATGTTTTATCATTGCATGCATATTTTCAATTGCGTGCATTGATTTGCATTCATAGCAAGAAAAACATTACCCCTTATTTTACATTGGTTTTATTATTCTTGACATTGTTTGATTTCTGAAGTATAAATAAAATCTCTGAGGAATCACTCGCTGCAGGGCCGTCAGCCCCAAAGCCCACTAGTCCGGAAAACCGTATATATTTAGCAAAAATTTATTTTCTTGTTCCCTGTTGTCATCAGAATCACGCTAATTCCAATATGATCAAAAGCGTTACATTATCCGATCAATTTGGCATCATACAAAGGTTTCTAACCTTAACCAAATGACATAACACGGTGCAAAGGGGGAGTTTCGATAAGGGTGTTTTTCGGCCCCTCAAGAAATGTAATGAAATTGTGATATGTTGTAGATAAAAGTGTTATCTTCCTAAAAATATGAAAAAAATTTATACTGCACATTTTCTGGTCACGTGATAATTAAAAATTTAAGTACATCATCTTCCCTATATTTTTGGAGGGGTCATATTTAAAGGGGGTAATGGAGTTTATTTAACGTCAAAATCGTAAATGAAATATTACAAATGTGAATAAAGGCATCAAATAACCAATTTCAATATTTTTCTTTACAAAAAATTAATTATGTTTATTTTATTTGAATGCGTTTTAAGGTGCAAGATTTTTCTCGTGTTTTAATTGTAACTCTTCTTTCAAAGAGGATGAATGTAACATATAAAACGTATATGAATAATAAAGACAGGAATTTTCAAAAAATGAATTAATCGACAGTTTATATTTAGACTTAATAATCAATATATAACATTTTCCCGTACGTAGAAAAGCAAGTGTAAAGATATATAGACAAGAGATAGATAATCTTAAACTGTCATTGAAAGGTGTTTGATACTGTTTGCAACACATTTTTGTCAACTAAAGTTATTGTGCTAAATATAGTATTAAAAATGTACCGTAATATCATTAAATTGAATTTTAAAACAATTCTTGAAATTAGTAGATTTCGGAATTCGGTACGATTACAAAATGCAGCTATTTATATTTTTAAAGTATATTTAAAAGAATCATAGTCTGCAATGTACATTGTATTTAATAATACCAAGCGTATTACTACCAGTCAAAATATTTTATCAAGACAGTAATTATTAGTCCCATACCGGTGAAGCCGGAGGATTCTATAGGTTTCCTCGTCGTCTGTCCGCCTGTTTGTCCGTCCGTCCCTCTGTCTATCTGTCAGTCTGTTCCACTTGGTTTTTCGCACTTTTCTCTAAACGCTTGCAGATATTGAGCTGGCTTTGGTATTTATAGTGTATCCTGATGAGAAACAGAGTTTGGAATTCGAGTTTGAAATTCTGCTTCATTGGTTTTTGACGGAATATTACAAATTTAAAAAAAAGGGGGGGGGGTCGGCGTTTTTTTTGTTTTGTTTTTTTCTAAAAAAAAAATCGCATATATTGAGCTGATTTTTGTTTTGGTATATGTGCTAAACTTGAGTTATAGATCAAGTTTGCATTTTCTTCCGCTTCAATGATTTTTCAAATAGGGCATTTTCAATTTTTAATGGAAACCAGGTTATACTTGGTGTGCCGATAGTGGACTATTATTACTAATGCTTACAGAATGCGTGAATAAATAGCCAAATGATAAAAAAAACTAAAATACATTGAGTGCATGTCTTCTATTCATTGTTAAACTTAAAAGTATTTACGCACATAAAGAGGTGCATTATGTTTTCAGCAAAAATGAGACAATTCAGGCAAGCGAGGACCTACATGTAATTCCTCGCGCTTCCCAACTTCCTTTTGATGCTTATGTTGTTTCACCAACTCTAGTCACTATTTGATTTTTAGACCATAGCCGCAATTTAAAATACATTTGTAAATACCAAATGTATGTGTTAAATCATATCCTGCAGAAACGTACAAATCAACATCCAGTCTTAAAAGTAATCTACGTTCCCTACATGTAGACCACACGGAATTATATGTGAACCTTCTCTAACAGACTGAAGCGAGGAGAGTTTCTATTCAAAGGAATGGATAGGGATTATAGATACATGAAAATGAGACATGCTCCAAAATATATACCCTGAGTATTCATCAAGAAAATGTAAGTCAGATCTAGCGTCTGAAGCAAGTCTGACAGTGTGCATCCGAAGATGCATCATGAAGCACGTCTTCTCAACAAGTGCTTATAGCTGCACTGCTCCATAAACATCAACCTGCTTTAAGAACATTAACCTGGACATTCTTTAACTGAAAATGCAGCATCTGAAACCCGTCAGATGACAAGAAAACACACTAGATCAGGCGACTCTGATGATTAAAAACTTTTAATAACCTGGAACGCCTATAACGATGGTATTACAAAAGCTGCCCCAACTTCGTGTAGGTGAGCTAAATATGTGACGTTATAGTTATACGCGGGCGACGAAATAAGTATGGAAATAACGATAGGATACGATTATGTTTTCTTATGTTAATATTTTCGAGAGTTCTCTTTGGTTTAGAAAAAAAATATGCTACTTTTGGCTTTGTATTTTTACACGGCGTCAGATCAAGTAACCAGGAGCTTCTAATTTTAGATATGCAAATTTTAGACAATTTTCAATTTTTGGATATGAAGTGCACACGCGACACTCATCATATTTTAAGATATTAGTGTGCAGAGTATATCTAGTTACTGAAGAAAACTAGGTGAGTGTCCCTCATGCACTTCATATTCTAACCATCGATTTATAAATGCCACCCTCTTATATTTTCCCATTAGCCTAATGTTAAATCATTTGAGGGTACATCTAAGAATGTGCCAACTACGGTGTGAATTCATCTCATATAAACTCTTGGAATATAAATAACAAAAATTAACATATATATCTTGAATTCTAAACCAATTTTGAAAAAATAAAACGAAATTTATTTTTATGAAAATAAGTGGGCCGATAAGCGGCCTTATCGAAACTCCCCCTTTCTAAGTAAGAGAAAGATAAGGATTGAAGATTTAATATATAAAATAACATACAACATGTTTATCTATTTATTTATTATTTTTAATGATTTTAATGAATTTACTGGGGGGGGGGGATTTTCTGTTTCATGGACACATTTTTATAGAGCATGAATATACATTGAAAAAAGACAAACAGATATAGTAATATTATAAACTTCGTACAGTTTCTGTAAACTCAAATTCAAGGAACCCATCACAAAAATTACAAGGTTATCACATTGTCTGTCTGGACTCAAGTAAACCAAGTAAGAAAATCGAGAATGCCTATATACAGACTGCATGTAGTTTAAAAAGTATTTTCTTTTAAAGCGTTATTAGTTCGTAACTTTGCGTTCATTTCGATACAGAAGAATACTTGACAAATAAGTGTATTTTCCCTTCTTAGCCAAAGTTATAAGGGTTCAAAGACTGCAAAGTTTTAATCCCAGATATTAAAGGGAATATCAAGATATCAAGGGGAAAAGAGAAAATAGTTTGATAATATACAGTTTGGATAGGTCGGTAGCTGTAATTATATATGGAAGCAATATTCAGCCAGTATACATTGGTGTTAACGGTTTGGGACACGCTCAAATGTTAATTTGAAAAGTCAATAAAATTGATATTGGCTTCTAGCTGGACCCTGAATAAAAATGTCACTCTTCAAGTTTTCATTTTATTATTATCATCTTCAGTTCAACAGACGATGAACGCAACAACAATGAAACGGAGAGGAACAAGAAACCAAAGACAGAGATTACGAATCAGACTGTGGAGGATTTAAAGAAAAAATCTCCTAAAGCTTCTGTATTGTCTAGCCTGCCCAAAATTGCATCTTCTGACAGGTATACACACTTCTTCAGAAAAAAAACTCTGTGTAACTTGGTAAAAATCTAAGAAATGTACAACTTTATAATACACATACGTCATTGACAGACTTTGGTAAGTGGTAGTATAGTATTTGTATATTGATAAGATTTTTAAAAAATAAGACGATGGAACAAAATATTTTTATCATTTATTTTACAATTATTACTTTACAGCACAGATATCGCCAGACTTGCAGTTAATAAAACCTCTCCAAATTCCAAACAACATGCACCCTCTAGGTAAAAACCGCAAAATATCTCAAAAACTGATGATATTAATTAATAAACTGCCCGTTGCAGGTCCAATTGAACTGGTTAAAATGTAGAAACCTTTTTTTTTTACAGATCCCCGGAAAGATTGCACATAGATAGATCCCCAGTCCCAGTGCAGTACAAGATACATTCTTCGTCTGTTGAAAAGTCACAGAAGCCCAGCAAGTACAAGACCCCCTCCCCTGTCTCTCGTAAATCTTCCCGCTCTACAAGATTTGAGTCCCCGGATAGGTACCAGACGCCTTTACAAGGGAGATCACCTACATATACACCGGACAGAAAGAGAACATCATCTCAAAATAGGTCAAAGTCAAGAAGTCACTCAAGGTCACGCAGTAGGTCAAAGAGAAGAAGGTTAGTATTGCTTAGAACGCAAAGAACTCGACCTAGAATTGTTTTAAAAGAGGGGAGAATACATTTTATTTTTTTTTTGTTGAAGGAAACTGCAATAACGTTAATGGGACTGGAATTTGGTCAATTTAATAATCCAGAATCCTCTGCCTTTTAGTATCTCTTTCCATCTGTTTTCTGTGCCCTGTGTCGTTCGAATACTTCAGTTTTTCTCTCTGAATTGGCTAGACCTGACTCCAAGACCATAAACTGAGAACAGGCTTAAGTCAAAACTTCAAATCAATATAATTTTTGAAATAATGTCGATAATTAAACAAAATTTTTAACATATGTGTATGAATTTGTGAATTAAACAAACCTCTAAGTTTTCATGCACATATGGCAATTAGAACTCAAGATATTCAAAATCAAAATCTTGACTTAAGTCTGTTCTCAGTTTATGGTCTTGGGGCCAGACTGGTATAGAGTCTCTATGGTTAAAAGGAAACAAAAATTAATGTTTAAGGTTACAGAAGGTCTGGGAGAGAGGTCCATATCCATCTCTGGTCATGCAATCCTCATAATTCTTCAGTACACCTTGACAGCGTGTAAGCAAATTGCATGACGATAAGGAATAAGCCCTCAATCAACTAAGAGACCAAGGACCCCTGGGTCCAGGGTTTGGGCCCTACCGCTGGGCTGTTTTGGTCATTTATTGAAATGGACGATTTTTTTTGTGCTTTACTTCTGGTACCCAGATAAATTATACTAACCAACAATCCCTCTGTACACAGGGGAATGTATGTTAAAGCGATGTTGAAGCTAGATTGATCAATTACTAGAAAAATACATGATATCCTAAAACCTCTTCATTACTTCTGGACATCTAAGGCAAAATCCACACATGATGATAAAAAACTATCAAAGTGTTGGTTTCATTGTCAAAATTATAAGGTTGAACTTATATTGTTTGAGTTTAACACCGCCAGTGTATTTCATTCTTTGTAGAAGTTACTCTTGGTCACATAGTCCTTCCAGAAGCTACAGCAGAAGTGTGTCCAGGACTCCATCTCAGAGGAGGGAATCCCGAAGTCCCTCCATCCGACGGAGGAAAGGTTCCCCTAGTCACCTTGACAAACGCAGGATAACAAGGTAGGAGTTATACGACCCAGCTACGAAAATTGTTAGGACTTAAGGCACTTCCATTTCTTTGCACGACAAATAACCACTTAAACTGGACAATCTCAATTGTTATCGCTTTGGCTATAAAAATAAATGTTACATCATTCTACGACAAAGAACAAATTTCATGAGTTGACATTTCATAAATTTTTATGAATAGTTCACTTCCTTGCAGGCTGTGCACGAAAATTTTAGGTTTTGCTTGCTTCTACACTCTTTGGCGTAATTATTAGAATTCGCACTTAACAGTCATTAAATTCACTATTTTTATCAAGTATGATATTGAAATTCACAAAATGCAAGTGAACAGCGAACATCTGATGTCGCAAGTGTAAATATTGTCACCGAGATACAAAGGCAGATGAATATTCATTATTAGCAATACATTATACTTGTACCTATATTACAGTGCCCGGAAGCGGCCAGTACCGTACTATCGGCCCACACCTCCCAGTCCCAGCTCTGACAGTGACGATTCCTACTACCATTACCATCGCTCTAGGACTCCGACTCGACACAGACAAAGAAGCAGGAGCAGCAGTATACTGCACTACCGGCGACGCAGCTGGAGTATAGACAGCGACAAAGGAATCTAAATTACATGTAGTCAATTTACATTCACGAAACATATGTCCAAATGATCTGGTCCCCTTTTATCAAGGAATATAAGAAACAACAAAATTTTGATTGAGTGTGAATTTTACACAGGAATATAGAAATTTTATTAAGAATGACAGGGCTACAATTTGTAAATCTTTAAACATACATTAATATACATTCAATATTATGATATCAATTTGAGTCAGGGGTAACACATAGGATTTTGTTATTGTTTTTTTTTTCCCCTTTGTTTTTTTTTATTTGTTTGTTAGTGTTTTAATTTTTATTATATGCTGTATTCACATGTGAGGAAGTGAAGAATGATTTAGGTGAGCATTGTGGTCCATGGACCTAGCTCTTACGTTACGTTAGTTCACATTTAAATAATCTTAGTAATATTTAGATAAGCAATAAGAATGTACAATTTTTATGGAGGATATTGAAATTAATTGGTTGACATTTATGGTTTCCTGGCATGACTACCAGATATGATTGTATGTCAACAATCATTGAAGATATGATGTCATTTGAATGAACTTTTAGTTTACCATTGTTATTTACCGATATTTATGTTTAATCTTACCTGATACCAAAGACATTTGGGGTACCTTTGTTTCAGAATATACCCACTTTTAGATATGTGCAATAAAACTAGGAATAATGTAACACATATATTTGCACATATCTTACGAGAGTTCATTTATTACCAAATAACCTTGAATGACCAGAAATAATATGAGTACATGTATGTTAAATATGCTCTTTTTATATCGCATTAAACCTGTTTCCCCCAGTTTTGTAGATTATTTAGTGAGTATTCTGGTCAAGTGATCTTTCACTGTTTTAATTATTTTCGAACTGAAATCTTTGTTTTATTTTCAATACACGTATTTTCCCCTTTCTCAGAAGGTATGATGTTTAATTTGAATTTCACTTCTTTCACAATTCTACCATGAACTTTTGATTATTATATACACAAATATACACAAGTTACATTAACATTTCATGTTTCTTTATGGATCTATTCTGGATGAATGAAATCCAGATGATTAATATTTACTGCATATCACATGAGAAAAAAGGGTTCAAATATTCCACAAAGGTTTTCTATTTTTTTCTTTTTAAATTTAGAAATGTTTTATTTATCATATTTCTTATTTTCTATTCTTTAGAAATTCAGGTAGACTTCTAGGACAACTAACATCCACAGTTAATAATTCTTTAAATTACAAAAATATAAGTCAAATACATTCCTCATTGTAAATATTATATTACTTTTATTTATATCTATTGCAGTATTACACCTTTATTATAGAATTTAAAAAAAAGGGATAAGAGTTATAGCTTTACAAAACATCAGGACACTTTTTTAATATCAACACGATCAAAAAGAAGGATTTTTTTTATAATGAGTAGAATATGCTCTTGTACACAGATATGCTGCACATATGTTGTGATAATTTGATACTCATATTTTTTTCTTTTGTGATTATGTATTATACAGGTTGTAAGATAGTGTTATTTATTATGTAGTGTTTTATGTGGTGCAATACATTTTAATTTGTTCAAGTATCTTTACTGCTAAATCTAGTCTTTAATGTGTTTTTTTTATTTATCTGAATTGAAAGCTCCTGTGAGATTTCTTGAGCAGAGTTTGTTTTTGTCATGGATCTGTTGGTTAACTTTTCACATTTTCAGCTTCTTGAGAATTTCTTAATCAATTCAATGAGCTTTTTCCCAAAGAATTTTTGAAGGAAGTGAATCTAATTTAGTATGTGTGTATTTTCACCTTTGTCCATATGACGATTCCTATGTAGGACTGTCTATTTGGGGTGTGACTTGTGAAGCTGGGGCTGGATGAAAAGTTTGCTTACCAGATCCATTTGTCATTTAAAACAGTGTAGCTCAGGTGAGCTACATGGCCTTTGGGCCTCTTAATTTATTTGTGTGCAATATGTCTTATTTTAATTTATTATATTTTGTTTTCACTTACTAGTATCTGAAACCCATAGATAATTTTCATCGTGCATAATATTCTCAGTATGTGATACTGATATGTGTTTTATAACAATTTTTTTTAAAGTTAATGAATGTTTTATAAGGTGTGTTTTGAATGTTAATGTAAAATGGTTTGATGTTCACAAAGTGAAAGTATAACATAACAATTTAATATTCTAGTCAGTGAATATAGATACATGTATTAGTACCTATAGCAGTGCAGTGGAGATGACTTGGAAATATTTTTTCTTTTTCATGTTCAATCTGATGTTTTAGATTTTGATCACATTGTAAGATTCCTGTGAATGAACCTGATTTTATCTTTTCGTACCAAATATTTTAGCACATTCCAGAAGATTTTGATTTACTTAACATAAGCACTGTCTGTACAAAGATTATTTTATTTTCTTGCTTTCTGGTCGACTTTTGTGCATTCCTAAAGCTTTTCACATTCCACTGTGTGTTTTATTTTATTTATTTACTTTGTAAAATAATTTTGTTTTGACAATAAAAACTTTTCTTAAGTTTTACACTGCATACATACTGTATATATAGTAAAACCTCTTTAAGTGAAATACATGTATAATGAAAGGCTTGACTATATCCTCTTGACATTGACACACTGTCGAGATGCAGCGAGGCGTCCTTGAAGATTCAGAAAGTGCAGATTCAAATGACAATTTGAACAAAAATTGTGGATAGCTTGTATTATACTCTGTCACTATCAACATCAATGTCAGCTAGTTTCAAGTCAAAGTAGGTCTTTGCGTCATAGGATTTTTATTTTGCTCTTGATTCCATTTTCTACATTTTTATTTAAAATGATGTTTGCAAATGAAAATGCAATCTATATATGTTAAGGTGCTCTCTAATTTTTATGTACTCAGTATTTCACTCATTTCAATGCATCGAAATTACAAGGCGCTGTTTGGTCAGCATACATTGTTTTAAGGAAAGTCTGGGCTGATTTTTCACGCGCATTTAAAAAAGAGAAGGGGGTTTTCCCTCTTTTTTTTCTTAAAAAGAGAAAGAGAGAGAAAGTAATTCCTTAAATTTACATTTTTACTTGAATCTTGTTTCAATAGAAAAAATGATTCAATAATTAGAAATCATACCCAAATCTGCACGCCCCGCCGAGTGTATTACTTAGCCACATCCAGCGAAAAGGCAGTTCTGTCACGTGATGAACAAGTGGCTTCTTATTTGCACATTTATCTCGGACAAAGACATTTGAAAATGATAATATTTATGCTTATTATGCCTCCTGTAAGTTTATATAATCAATACCCAACTTTTTTCGCATGGTATACAAAAGATTTCTACAGCATAATCATACTATGCTGAAATATAGTGTACAGATGTATTTTCTACGGAAAATATATGTCAACAGCAACGCTAGGAATTGAACTCACGATCTCGAGAACGTCAGTCCAAGGCCCTACCGATTAAGAGTTATGCCACAGACACAGTTTCATAATACAAATGTATTTTCAAGTATATAAACGTAGTTTCATACATTTCACAGTTCAGGCACGTAGCATCAGAGGGGGGAGGACCTTTCCCCCCATTTTGTTCCAAACATAACTTTTTACTATTGAAAATGTTTATTGAAAGACCAGCCCCCACTTTTTGGTGCAATATAGTCAAATAATGGTAATTCAGTAGTGAATAAATAAAATTTGGTACTGAAAGAAGTTGGAATCTAACCCTACCCTCCCCTCGAATTTGGACTATCCCCCCTTTTTTTCTTTTTTGCTTGTCAAATTTTTTCAGTTAAGTTGTAAGTTGAATTTTTTCTCTCTCTGGCTGCCCCCCCCCCCCTTTCTAAAACCATGCTACGTCCCTGCATTTGACACTAAAACAAGAAACTAGATTTTGTGAACAATAAGCTCACAAAATGAGCCTCCGGCTCGTGACCCATGTGTCGAACCCTGACTACTATTTCGGCATAGTACATCCAGGTCATAACACTAAATATAAATAATGACGTTCTTGATTTTTTAAACATACTTCAATCTCATTTTTCTTTTATTCATTTACTGAAAAAATTATACAATATTACAGACCATAAAACTTTAAAAATGACTGCGACTTTCTGACTTTCACATTTGTAGAAGATTGTTCGTGACCCTTTGATATCCTTTTTTTCCATTGAAAAAAAATCACTGAATTTCTACTGCAGATGATAGGTGCCTTTAATCCTTGTGACGACGTTAAATGTTATCGGATACACGACATTGCTACTGAAAGAGCGTAAGATCAATCATTGGTTTCCGATAATAACGACTTCGTGACTTTTATCCGAGCCTTATGTGCACTGGTACATGTACTAATGTTTGTACATACAGGTAGGTACATTTATCATCGACCTATATATATGCACTATTATTTTCTAGAATTTCCGTCCTTCTGACATGGATACATATCAAACTTTCTTGGATGAAAGCTCTGTCACTAAATAAGAACCATGGGTATAATTTGTGTCACTGTCCAAGATAATCAAGAAAAGGAAATCATTTTTAATGATCTTCTCGAGAAAAAGAAGACCATGCATGATTACTAATTAGTAGTTTTGAAACGCAAGCTTCCTCCAGTGCAGATTTGAGTTTGTTCGAATAACGGCCCAGGAGTTAAAGTGAGGGCACTGGGGTATATAAGATGATTTAACATGGGGATTTATAGGGGGGAAAATAAACCTTTAATATCATCCCCAATGTAATGAAGATTTGTTTGTTCAAATGATGGACCCGGAGATGGATGGGCTTCGAAGATTTACATAAGAACACTAGTATATAAGAAATTTAAAAAAAAAAAAAAACTTCTTTATTTAAAAAAAAAAACATGCCCACATAGTTATATCAATGTGACGACATTCCAAAGTTGTGTAGAATTGATTTTTTGTTTAAATAGTTAGGGAAGGGATAAAATCGATGTTATAATGCACGTGTATAGAATTAAATAAATCTTTTAAAAATATCTTATTTATATCTTATATCAAAATGGCCGCCAGAAAT